GACACTGATATAGCCAACATTCCCCATTTGCCTTGGTTTGTACCCTGATAATGAGGCCCCCAGTCCTTAACAAACCTCTTTAAGAGGCAAAGAACAAAAGTGTGGTAGAGCCCCAGCAAGCAAGAATGGCAGTCTTAGCACCGAAAAGCTGAGCTTCCGCAGCCCCTTCCTGTTACCCTGCTAAGGCTGGTGCTCAGGGAAGTCATCTGAATATGAGCTGGAGGTCAGAATTAGCATGGGAGGCCAGGGGTTGGGCCAAAGTGAGAGTGGGAAAGCCTTAGGAGGAAGATTTCTAACAGGACATAAAAGGGAAACTTCCCAGTGGTGACTGCAATTCAAAAATGGAATAAATGGCCATGGGACAGTGCAGTGTACACATTGCCAGGGCAGAAGATGGACTAAATCAGCTGCCCTGTTCTAGAAGTCTAAACCTGGTCTGTACCCAACTATGTTCAAAGAATGCCTACTCAAAGCACTGAAACAGGAGCACAGTCTCTTATCAGACCCTGACTCTATTAGCTTCAGCCACGCTCTTATGGCTTTATCCTACCTCCACTCTCCATTCTGCCTTAGCACTTACCTTCTATGTTGTGGCTTATACCTGGATGTCCTCTCAAAGCCTCAAGCACTCACAGTCAAGGACTTATTGAAGGTCTTTCGATTATGGGTGCACTGTAGGTGATTTGCTGTCAGGAGATAGAGTCTGGTTGGAAGGGGTGGGTCCCTGGGAGCATGGCCAGGAAGGGTTCATTTCCCTCCCTGGCTCTTCCCTTCACTTCGTCTCCTGGCCACCACGAAAGTGAGCAGCTTTTCTTTCAACCTGCCATCCTGCCGTATCCCATAGCTGACTATGGACTGAAACGCCGAGGTCATATAAACCTCTTCTCCTTTAAGTTTCAGGTGAAAGGTATTTTGTCCCAGCAAGAAGGCAAGTGACCAAGACATTCTCTGTAGTCGAAGTACCTCTCTTGTTCAGTTAGAAACATAGTATGTCTCTTCACCTCTCTGGCTCCTGCAACTCTTATTTCCTGAAGCCTCTGGGCTGTCCTGTGTAATGGCCTGGCTTGCTCCTTACTTGTCTCCAGGCCTGCTTGTGCACAAAGCTTCAATGTACATGGAGTAAGCATCTCTCTCAGACCCAAAGTCCTATCCCAATACAGGAAATGATCCTGGCCAAGTAATCAACCTCTAGGAATCACAGTTTCCCTGTCTGCTTTATTTACAACAGCAAGAAATTAGAAAATTTTCTAACAATAGAGAGCATTAATTAGTGTGGTATATTTGCACATAGGACTATTACACATGCAGCAGTCCATTTAGTTGCATGGAGAAATTCTCATGAAATATTAAGAGACATGAAATTACAAAACAGTGTTTATTATAAGCACATTTCTATAGAAAAGCAAACCTGTGCAGAAAGGTGTAGAATTGCATACATTATAAATAGGGGAAACTGTTCTCTATTTTTTTTCCTATATTTCCAAAATTGTCAACAGTAAACGTGCAATGCTTTTAAACTAGTTACAACACTATTAAAAAAAAAAAAACTTTACTATTATCATTTCACATTTTTCCTGCTCAAAAACAACAATGACAACAAAAATCTGATGTCACAATCTAATAAAGGACATGGTAAGGAAACCCATTACATCATCCTATTTATGCTTTCATAAAAACTAACACAACTTGTTGTATTTTGAACTTGGAAAAATAAAAAAAGACAGCTAAGGAAATTGGGCTAATTGAAGGTCACATCATGCAGCTCGGGCCATGACTAGACTCCCAAAGGATTAATTCTTCAATTCCAGTAGGAACCAAACAATTTCCACTGTCACCCTGCCCATTCAGTCCCCCTAGGCATAAAACATGCCACGTGCCACCCACAGGTCATTATCTGGCTGCCTTGTCAGGCTGCACTCCACATGGTGCCGCATTGAAAAGCAGAGCTGAGGCCCCATTCATCCAGTTTTGTTCCCTGGTAATGAGCTCCCTCACTCCCTCCTTGCACTAGAAAGTATTGGATGCAGGATGATGCCAGTCAGAGAACCCCCTTGTGAATGGCCCGTCCAGGAATTCAGGAACTTGGCTACAGCTCCACCACAAGAGGCCAAAGCAAACAGTCATTTCAGTGGGAAATATCAGCTTCACTCAGGATATATTGCTTTACTTTTTCCTGAGTATAGATGTCTATGATGTGGCCACAGATATTCAGACAGCGCCCATCCACTGTTCTACTCTGCAGACAACCCAGAGGCAGGTCTTCCGCCCATGACCTGCAGCCTGAGCAATGCACACTGATCACACCCTTCCTTCCTGGCAGATGCATGAGAAAGCCCATGTTTCACATGTGCAATCCTTGCTATTCCCAATCCAGTGTCATACCTTAGGAAAGTGACCCAAAAGTTCACAGGCCTCTTTCCTGCAGAGCTGGAACTGGGGGGCCCACAGATTAGTTCACATTTATAACTATGATCCCAGTGTCGGTTCCATCAGATACTCCTCCCCTCTGCAAAGAGTTAAGGGCCCATAAATTTCTATCAGTGTGTTTGGTGGGCTGCCCCAAATACTTCCTGAAGCAAAGCTAAGTAGCTAAGGGAACTAGTGCCCAGTTAGAGGAGATAGATGCTGGAACATTCTCATGATCACAAACATTTTTTTTTATGGCTTGTACAATAAACAAATGAGCCAGTTACTCTCTGCATATGCTATGGTCTTCTTAAATTGCTCCTGGAGAATTCAAATTGTATATGGAATAAAAAGCCACCTATTGAAGCCAATCTGTGCAGCAGGCTTGCTCGCTGTTGCTCCCTCTACCCAGACCACAAAACCATTTTGGAGAGAATCAAAGCAGTCATCTCTACAGCTGTGTGCTATTATGTTTTGGAACCAGATCTGACAAGAGCCACTAAGATGTCTGCACACCACACAAACAGACAACCAGCTCTCCAGCTATTACAAGGAAAAACAGAAGCCCAAGTAGAAATAGGCTGAAACATTCTTCCTACTGAAGAGTCTACAAATCCCGTGGACAAAACCTCAAAATTCACAACTCAGCCCTACTGTCCGCGCCTCTACCTCCCACATCCCTAACCCAAACACCTCTTCATCTTGCAGCTTTGCACACACAAACTGAGCTTCCTCCCATAGGAAAATCCACAGCCTGCCTCACCAGGGAATCCTTCCAGAAGAGGCAGGCTAGAAATCCAAAAAGCGCTTAGCATTGCTAAGACTTCAGCTGGCATCTGGGGGGCGATTTTTCAACTTGATCCTATCATCAGAGATGAACACTCCCATTTTGCACTCCCCATTTCCACTCCTGTGCTGATTTATCTATTTGTTATTGCTATCAGGAAAAAAAAAAAAAAACCCTTAGAGTCCTAGGGTGACAGCGGTCAAGTTAGGGGCCAACTGTGTGACTGAACTCCAGGGACCCTTTGGCTACATGCTGGTCTGTCATGGACTCATGGCATGCCTTCTACTGAGGCTTTAACAGCAATAAAAGGCCAATGATGACCCTCAGTCCAACCCCGCTGTGCCCATCCACAAACAAGATGGATGCCCCAACCAGCCAGGGGGGCACCCTAGGCATCTCTGCCCAAGTGGTCCTCTCCAGTATTCTGAGCTTCACAGGTAGGTCATGACTACAGAGAACCATGCCCTCTCCACCTCCACCCTGAACCACGCATCTGCACGATATTTGCTCAACAAAGGCATCAACTCCACAGCCAGGACAGAGAGGCACAGAGGAAAATCAGCATCTTGGTATGTCCCTAGGATTCTAAGTCATGGAGGTCTCAGAAAGCCCAAGCCACATAAGGTAGAAACCTGGCAGACGTGAAGCTTCCTGTTAAATTCAGTTCCAGTTCTATTTTAACTGAAACCTACAGATTATAATTAACTTTATACCTCAAGGCATACTGTGCACCGCCTTCGGGAGGCACGAAGCTTCCCCAGGTAAAGGCAATTTTCTCAAAGCTTAGCTCTCAGTGACCAGGCATGCACCAGAACAATCCAGTAACTTTAGGTCACAGAATTTGACTTGAGAAATAAAGGTCAGAGAGGCTGGGAAAGCCAGCCTTCCCCTTAGACGTCAGCATCCGGCACTGCCTGTGAGCAGTGTCCAAGGGCTCTGTGGGCCACATGAGCAACTTGTGATTTAGCTTTTTTCCCCTCCTCCTCCAAACTAGGAATTGGATTCAGAGCCTTCTCACTGAGCTACATCCTCAGCCCTGTTTTATTTTTTATTTTGAGACAGGCTCTCACTAAGTCACAAAATTGCCCAGGCTGGGTTTGAAATTTTTTTGTGTGTGTGACCCTCCTGCTTCAGCTTCCTAAAGTGCTGGAATTACAGACCTGTGCCATCACACCCAGCTCACTTAGCTGTTCCTTACCCTAGACCTACAGGTACTTCCATCTTTCCGGAATAAAGTGACAACACAAAGTAATTTTTAAAAATAAGCAGTTAAAATCCAGTTCCTGAGTTCACCCATGTTACTGAGAATAAGGCCAGAAATCACCAACTTTTGAGTTATACCAAATTGATGTCAAAGCAACTGCTTTTCTTCTGAGCTATAAAAAGACAATAATCAAGAGATTCTTTTGATTCTTCAAAGCTGATGTTTCCAACCTGCATACCGCAAGTATGCCTTTGTGACTAACACCAGACAGCCCAAAGCCCCACAGCCCCTTCATCAAGCATGCAAAAACACACCCACCATTCCTCCTGACCTCAACTCCCCGTGCAAAGCTTAAAGCTTCAGCACGCGCGAGCACAAATTCTACAGATGAGAATCACCTGCGGTGCTTTTAAAAAATGTAGCAGACCTTCGTTCCACCTTTAATCAATGACACCAGCATTTCTGGGGATGCAACTCAGGCATTAGAGTGTTTCAGAGACCTGCACATATGCATGCAGCCGCACCAAGGACAGTAGGTGCCCTGGACACCAAAATTCCCGCCCGCTTCAGTGCTACAACCGCGCACACCCGGGCAGCTCCTACCTATGTAGAGCGAGGAGTCCTTCCTCCGCACGTGGTCGTCGATGTAGGAGACCCCCAAGGGTTGCACAGGGGTAGCACCGATGCCCAGGAGGACCTGGGCCCCAATGAGCAGCAAGTACATCATGTTGGTGGCCGTTCGGTTGCGGCAGATGAGGTCAGGGTCTGGCCCCTCGTCGCCACTGGAGCCGTTGGCGGCACAGACGTCGCGGCCCTCCGCGCCCCAGCGGATCTCGCCCGCCTCGTACTTGTACTGGTGCGTGAGGAACTCGGGCAGCGCGGACAGCAGCGCGCCCAGCGCCATCACGATGCCTCCGCAGCCGATGAGCCGAGGCCGGTGCCCGCGCGCCCCGAAGTAGCTCACAAAGAGGATGAGCGCCAGGTTCCCGATCTCGAAGCTGCTGGCGATCACGCCCACGTCCGCGCTCTGCAAGTTGAACCTGCGCTCCAGGGTGGTCAGGACGCTGACCTAGGGAAGGCAAAAGGAGACATCAACCAGTGTGCGGGGTGCTTAGGCCGTGTCCCGCCCTTTTGGGGGGCTCGCCCACCCCGCCCACATGGCCTTCGGCCCAACCGCAAAAGCGCAGGAAGCCTAACTCTGAAGCACGTTTACTTGCTGCGATGACCCTAGTTTAAAGTGCTTTCCCAAGAGTAAAGAAGACTTTCTGAGTGCATTTCCATAGGGCAAAGTTCTGCTTCTCTGTAAGTGCAACTTCCCCATGTCCTGGGCCTGCCCTCTGTGGGAGCCACAACTCCCAAGGAGGTCCTGAAATGTAATTTTCACACATTCTTAAATCAAGGTTAGGCTGGGAGGACACTGAACTCAGCAAAGTCCATCTAAAGAACATTTTTTAAAAAATGAGCAAAAATCAAGTGGTAAATTGCCAAGCTGGATTAGCTCTGTAGGGTACTCACTTGTGGAAACGTGGGTTTCCCCAAAGGCCGTCAGATAAACACACTCCTGACTGCTCTGAGCAGCCTGGGTCCTGCGAGAGACCCCCAGATGTGGGATTTTTATGATTTCTCTCACCTTTGTTTTCTTGTCTGTCCTCTATTTAACAAATATTTGCAGAACATCTGCTGTTTGCCGAGCAATGCCTGAGACACAGAGGACAGAAAAAACGAGGAAGGGCTGACACCTGGCCCTAAGAGGCCACCTGGCAGGAAAGGACCATATGCTGAGTGGTAACACAGAGCAGTGAGAGGTGACATTTGTGATGCGAAGGGCACACTGCCGGCCCAAGAAGAAATGCATTGCTGGAGGGCTTGTGGGGGTAGCGGGAAGGGGGGATGTTCCCCCGCCTGTTTGCAGGTTACATGCAGGACACTCGGCCCTCTTGGGGGCGATCTGGTAGCTGAAGGAGGCCCTTGCCAGGCAGGGAAAAGCAAGGGTGAGCACTGGACAGTACAAGTTAACAAGAGAATTCTCTGGAAGATGGGGTGAGGGCAGACTGTAAGGAGCCACAACTGTCACTCTGAAGAACTCAGCCAACCCCAAGCAGTGTATAGAGAATAGTTACTACAGAGTGAAAAAACCTGGGTGAATCTCTCTTTCCTAATCAGCTGTGATCTCAGTCAAATCACTGCCTCTCCCAGTCTTGATTCTGTGAAACAGGACTCATGATATCCACCTGGCTGAAAGAATTAGAGGGTTAGAAATCATGGAAGGAGACTTATTTGGCACACAGAGCAGCAGCCTGATGGAGGGGGCAAAGCCAGAGCTCTGGGACCAGACCTCCTGGCTCCATTCTGGCCTTGTGTGACCTTGGCCACATTACTCTGTGCTCTGGCTTGTCTGTCTGCAAAATGAGTTTGAGAATGCTACTTCCTAAAGCCGGTGGCAGCGATAAACCACACGTAAATGCCAGGTAAGGATTCACAGAACTATAATCTTTTTTTTTTTTATTTATCTGTGGCCACCAGGAAGCATCCAAAGCTTTAAAAGCCTAAGGGCCACTGGAGATGTGGCAAATAGATGGCGGAAGAGAGAATAAGTGAACGGCAGCAGAGAAAACAACAGAGCTGTCCGTTCTCGAGAAGGGCAAAGGAAAGACTACAGCCCATAGGGCTAGAGTGGAAAGGAGCAGGAAAAGATAGGAGAGTTTTTAGGGGCTCAGTTCTATTTCAGGGTAACTGGGCTGGGGCGCTGACCAATGCTCAGGAAAGGAAGGAGTGTCACAAGGAGCTAGACTGCTTCCCCATGCATAAATACTGGTATGGTTGTAAATATCTGAGCACACACACATACAAACACCTGTGATGACGAGCGTGCCTCTACTTACCCTACTACGCAAAGAATGGTGTAGCCAGCCTATTCTTCCTCATCTTTTCAAATCATATGCATCTGAACAGGTTCCCTGAGCCCAGGGAGTTGCATGAATTGAAATCTGCATGGCCTTTCTTGGAGTGGGGTTTCTGACTCACTGGGTCTGGGGAGCAGCCTGGGCATTTTTCAGGCTCTCCAGATGATTCTAACAAAGGTAAAAAGCATATCATGGGCAAGGACATACACCACGGTGGCCTCTCCATCAGCTGGTTGCTGGTCAGCTCTATGCAGCAGTTATGATATTTATGTGTACGCTCTATTGCCAGATTGCCAATTGTGATTCCTATTCTGTGCTTTTATTTTAATGGTGAGACTAGAGATTGAACACAAAGCCTCAAGTGTTCTCTTGTGACATCCCTGACCCTTTCATTGTGTTTTCTAACCAAGACCAGTTTACAGCTCCTCCAGTCCTAATGGCATTGTTGTTTTTCAAATGCCAAGCATTTGCAGTTGTTGACAACACAAGTTCGACTGGTCCTGACCTGATTAAAATGGCTTTCAGATACCTTCAAATATGTTCTTTCTGAAAGTTCTGGATAACTAAAAACAAAAGCTTCCTTTGTTCCTGTTTCTGTCATAACACTTACCTACAGGGCGGACTGCATGCTCTAACAGGTACTGCAGCACAGAAGCAGACAGAACGGCAGCCTTTAGGTTAGGACAGGAGCGCCTGCGGGGTTTTACCACCACCCACCCCTGGCATTGCGTTAGATCCTGAGTGACCCAGGGGTGGCTGGCTACAGAAGTAGAACTGGGACAAGCCTGGGCAGGGCCCCCTGGCTATAAGAGTCATTCTCAGCAGTCTGTCAGTGTAATTCACCAACTTTCTGCCCCTCTGACAAAATGAGACCAACAACTGAAAGCAGGAAAGGTTTATTTTGGCTCATGACCTCAGAGGTCTGAGTGCAAACACTTGACAGTGTTGTTTCGGGCCTACTTCAAGACAGAATGTCGTAGGAACAACACCTGGTGGGGAGAACTACTCATCTTCCAGCGGCCGGGAAAGGGGGTGGTGGGAAGCCAGAGTCCCAAAGTCCCCTTCATGGGCCCTGTCCCCAAACCTGACTTCCTCCCTCTAGGCCTCACCTATTAAAGCTTCCACCACCTCCCAGTGTCACTGGAGGCTGGGGACTGAGCTTTTAACACACAGGCCTTCAAGGGATATTTAAGAGCCAACCATTAACAGGTGGGTCTGCAGCCTGGTGACCTTCATCAAAATGGTAGGAAGCATCAAACACAATATCTGCCACGAGGCATAATGACATGCACACCAGCCAGCACATCTGAAACATGACAACCATTCCATTCAGCTAATGCACTCGTCATAAAATCCCACATAGGTGTGCATGTTCAGGATGACAAATAAGGGTGATACGGACAGAGACAGCGCCAAGCAAAACACAAACTAAGCGGTTCTTCTAGAGATGGATTAATGCCTGCAGCTCTTGGCCTGTCTCAAACCCACTCTTTGCAGAGCAGCGACAGGGTGACAGGAAGTAGCAAGCTCTCTCCCTGCTTGACCTGTGGCCTGCAAAAGGCCACAGCTAGCTATGCCTGTGTGGATCTACAGTTACACAGACTTTCTCAAGCAATGCTTTGTGGATCAATTATATCGGAGGCTAATGTCTTCACTCATTTAAAACACAATTTTGAGAAGATGGACTAATTAAGTATGCATGAGGCCATAAAGCCCACTTGTGGCTTTTATGTGGCAGTGAACAATGCCATGATGAGGAAGCTGCATGCCAAAGGGAATGGCTGCCTTTACTTAATGGGTAACAGGGCTATTGGAAATGTCTTAATAATTAGAAACAAAGGGCCAGCAGCTCAGGAGAAGGAAAGAGGAAATGCCCTCACCTTGGGCCAAGCAGAAATGAGGTATTAAAATAATGCAATATTTATCAGGCTTCTACTAACTTAATTCAGAAGGAAAATGTTTGCAGTTCAGTATCTGCTTTGTTAAAAATATAGATTCCCAAACCTTGAAGTGAAACCTATCAAGATGGGCAATTTTGGGGGGCAGAAGGGTTGTTTTGTTTTGTTCATGGTGATAGAATAGAATTCAGGGCCACATCCATGCTGAGCAGTTGCTCTAACCACTCCCAGCCACATTCCCAAGCTGAGGTTGTATCGAGCTCCTGGTGTCTCTGATGCCTGGCTCGGGCCAAACACCCCTGATCTTCTAGGCACATATTCACCGTCAGTGTAGGACAGGGATAGTGAACCTTTTAGAGATGAATGCCCTAATTGCAACCCAAAACCCACTTACTTATTGCAAAGTGCTAACGCTGCAATTAATCCAGAACACTGAGAACTTTTTTGGAAAAAACAACCCATACGTTAACATCTTCTGTCCTAAAGGAAAAACACCATGAAAGCCATAGGTTTGCCACCACTGGTCTAGGGCTGTAGGTCCAGTCTTTACTGGCAGCACAACTGTGGAGGGTATCAGTGCTGCACGGCAAGTTCACAGCTTCTGGGGATGGGGTCCTGAGAATCTGCATTATTATCAGAATCTCAGGTCACTTTGAGAACCCCCACTCTACTAACTTTCCTCTCCTCCACAGGCTTTTTCCAGCTCCCATTCAGAAGACGAAGGAGCTTTTCAGTTAGGCGTGAATGGAAATACATCCTCTTCCTCTTGGGGAGTCCAGAGCAACAGTCTCTCCACTGGGGCAGAAGCTAAGGCAGCCCATTTCTTCAGGCCCCTGGGTCAGCTCAAGCCCAACAGGAGGACTTTGGTCCATGCTGTCATAACTGCTATAGGACAAGAGGTGCTCGGAGTCCCTGAGCAGGTACATATGAATCCCTCCATCCTTAAGAGATGTCTCAGTGGGACAAGACCATCAGAAACTTATTTGACAGGAAATGCAGTTCTTTGGAGCAGCTGCTAAAGCTCAGGGTTGCCTTCTCAGAAATGAATTTACTCTCATATGCTGGCTTGGGCTGTGGGGCTGGGTCCCATGAGCACCCTGAGGTCACATATATCAGAGCAACTAGCACACAGTAGTGCATGCTCGAGAGCAAGGCTCACAGCTGGGATGCACTTAGAGGACTTCAAGAGCCTCAGACTGCATTCTACACACGTGAGGGCCTGCTGTTAGCTGTGCACTTGTGACTACAATTATGAGACAAACTGGAAG